GTCACGGTAATGTGTTTTTTGTTGGGTGTTTCCATATTTTTGTCCATCCCCTTTAGTTGACCTTGTTTCTCATTTATTTCGGATACAAATATATTCTTGAGAATCGCATCGCACTACATATATCACTGTGCAGGATCAAAACATTTCTCTTGTATTTCATTATAAGTGTCTGAAATAAAGATTATAGATTTTAATGAGTTATGCTAGTATATCTTGTGACGTTTTGTACGACGATCCGTTTTTTACTAAGATCGCTGACGTTGAACTTTTTGTAAAGTAAGGATTATTATACTGGACCGCTAGAAGCCAAAAAAAAAAAATAAATTCACCATAGTTTTGATCCATACGTACGAAATTTAATCAGAATGTTTTCGGAAATGCGCGCGGACGGTCGGACGGACGCAGCTGTAGTTGACACTGTTTGTGGAGAGGACGCATTCTGTTTCGTGATAGTTGTATAATGAGTAAGATAAGTCTTCTGCGACGTGGACTGACGCTTTCTTTTCAGAGGGTGAATGAGAAGAGGGTTAAGAAATTCCCTCACTGAACAGGTTGGTCTAGAGGTAACTCTCTAACCTTGTATTCGGTAGGTACTTGGTTCGAATCTCGGTCGAGATACCCGCTGTATGACTGAGGTTTTTCGTGGTTTTTTCCTCAGTCCCTGTATGCGGATTGTTGGGCAGTACCTCAGACCACCACTTTTACCTCCATATCCTTTCCGATTCATCAGTCATCCCATCATTCTCAACGCGTCACCAAATAACCCACGAAGACTAAGAAAAATAATTTTCCCGCGTTTTCCTCATCTGAAAGTTCATTGTAGTAGAGGAGTATAACTGGCTAATACCCCGGCATGTTTCAGAGTCCATCATCGTGGAGTGTACATATTAAGAGGAAACTTTACAATTTACTTACATAAAAGCGAGGATACTTAAATAGAAGCCATGAGTTTCTATAAAATATTACAACCAAATTTACGTTCAGATTCGCCGATGTTGCTCTTCATTGAATTCTGTGATCATGGTTGAGCTGTTGTTTCTGTTCTTTCGTGCTCATTTTTCAAGTGTGTAAAAGAAGTTCCTTGGCCTAGTTCTGGTCCCCTGTGGTCAGTGTTGGACTATTTAGATATTGGTGATGTGTATATGTTGTATTGTTTAAATAGTGGTGGTTTGTAGCCTTTTATGAGCCTCGTGAGACCGAAATATGGTGGGATATTAACTGCACCAGAAACAAACAGATGTACTTAGATGATGAGGATAGCGTAGTCGGTATAGCGACTGACTACAGGCTGCATGACCGAGGGATCGAAGTTTGACTCCCATCAGGGTCAATAATTTTCTCTTCTCCACTTCGTCCAGACCGGCTCTGGGGTCCACAGAACCTACCCACTGGGTACCGGAGACGCTCTCCCCAGGGGTAAAGTGGCCGGGGCGTGAAGCTGACCACTCACCTCCAGCTAGTGCCGACGTCAAGAAAATGTGGGTTTATATATCCACTCCCCCACACGCCTTCATGGCGTAGTGCTTAATTATTTGAGCACAAGGAAAACTGTACCTTTTACTTACATTGTTTACATCTGTCCGATTTTGAAAGACAAGGTGAATGAATATTAAGTTCTGCTGTCCTCTCACCTGTGCTTCAGGAGTTCTCTGGTTTGTCGAAACAGTCCATCTCAGTATACGACGATCTCTCTTTGTCAGTGTTGATTTTCGCCCACTGTTCCTCTTCGCTGACGTTCCCTTCTCATGATTCGTGTATGCAGACATAATCTCTACATACACGAATCATGAGAAGGGAACTGAGATGGACTGTTTCGACAAACCAGAGCACTCTTGAAGCACAGGTGATAGGACAGCAGAACTTTACATTTATCTTGACTACCTTGTTTACACAAAAACTGTCTGACGTGAGCTTCACAAATCCGACATCCACGGTAGGGCTGCAATTGATAAACTTCTGATTACTGAAAGTAATGCTCAGAAGCGTAAACGATGGTGTCACGACCATGAAACCTGGACATCAGACAACTGGAAACGCACGCGTGATACGGTCAGATGAGTCGTCCTTCACGCCGTTCCCCTACGTCAGGAAGAGTATAGGTTTGGAGAACACCCACGGAAGCCAAAAATTCGGAGTGCCTGGTTCGAACAACGAAACAAGGGGCGGGTTCTATGATGGTTTGGGCAGCAATATCTTGGAATTCTGTTGGCAAAATTACTGCAAGGGAGTACATGGATAGGTTGGGTATTCAGGTGCATCCCATGATCGAGACTTTATTTCCGAACAACGATACAATTTCCAAGACGATCACATAGCTAGAACTGTTCAGTCGTAGTTTGAAGAGCAATAAGGTGAAATTAAACATCTTCCCTGGCCAGAAAAATCGCCGAATTTGAACATAATTGAACCACTCTGATCAGTTTTGTAGACTAGAGTGAGGAACAGATTCCCACCTCAAGCATCTCTAAAGGAACTTGAAGTTGTTCTTCAAGAAGAATGGTATGAAATTCCTCTAGAGTGTTCGAAACTTGTGCGAGTCCATTCCAAGAAGGGCTCTGGCTGTATTGAAGACAAAAGGTGGTCCAACACTAAAATAATAAAGAAATGTGTGCAGTATCTGTAGTGTTTCCATAATTTTGTCCAGCCCCTACATATTGTCACGTGAGAAGTGTGACTGTAGGCTGAGTTTGAATTGGTAGTCGGATTTATTGAACTCTTAAACAATTCATGACTACGCTTTGTAATTCACTGTTACACACGCAGCAGTGTCCACAGTCACCACTGCCGTTGCTTGGTAGCAGCTTCACCAGTGGACAGTCCCCTTCCTCTGGGTTCCCGAACTGTCCCTGACCTCAGCTAATAGCTTATAACAGCAACGGCTGAAACGGCTGAACCCCAACAGTTCTCTGACTGCAACTGCTAACTGGTTCTGCTTATAACATCTCGGCACATACCGCGTAGAAAACATGTTTTCCATTATTGCTGTAGTCTCTTGTTGTGGAAAATGCTTGTTTGCGCACCCGTTACTTAGCAATGCCTGTTGTATAGTTGTTTGTTTCGCGGTCGTTGTCTAGCAACGGGTCTACATGCCACAATTTATATATAATTGTGTGTGTGTGTATATATATATATATATCGCAAAAAATGAACTCTAGCAAAGGTTCATTATAGTGTTCACAAAAGCCCATCACTGACTCGTCGTTGAGCCATATGAGTCCTGACCACTTTAATCTCCTGATTTAGGCTTGGATCGATCATGTGATCTGTTCCGTTCGGTTTCCCGACTGTTTTTTTTTATTCATTAACATCATCTTCATGGATTAGACCATGCTTGGTCTGTTCCGTCCTCTTGAAGAATATGTTGGTCCTTCCATCTAAACTGTGGGGGTCCTCTGTTTCGTTATTATATCTATTATAAATATTGAGTAGTTATTCCCTAATTTTAGTAATATTATTTGGTCCTTCCATGCGTAGTGTGCTACGCTCCTCACATAATTCATCTCTGCAGTTTCAGTTTTTGCTTCCTGGTTTTCTCTGGTCACAGTTTCGGATCCATGTATAAAGTATTGGTACCACAATAGCTCTATAAAATCTTTCCTGTGTTTCTTTCCTTGTCTTGTTATTAGGTTTTATTATTATGCTGCACATTTGATTAAATCTGTTAATTTTTATATCTAAATCTTTGTTGTTTGTTACTGTAATTATATACCTACCTACTTACTTACTTATGGAGCTGAGCCCTTCTCGTAGAGAAGCCAAATCTGCAGCTACTCAAGAATTTCCCAGCAGTTTATGGAACTCGAAGGTTCATCACCGTGTTCACAAGGGCCCTCCACTGGTCCCTATCCAGAGCCAGATCAATCCAATCCATACCATCCCCTCTCTCTAAGATCCATTTTAAGCATATTATCCATTTCTTATTTTCTTATATACCCTGTGTGTGTGTGTTGCATGGTCCACCTATCTTCTCCTTGATTTGGCCATCCCAATAATATATTGCGAAGAGTACAAATTGTGCAGTTCCTTATTATGAAATTCTGTTTACTTCTGTTCCATCCTTTTCACTCCAATTCTCAGCTATATTTTAGTGAACCATTATTTTTGGCACAAAGACAAGCGCCGTGTTATGTTGACATTTTGTTTATACTGGTTACACACTTAAGTTCATGTCGTTAGCTTGAGAACAATACGCTGATGCAGTATAAGCATTGAATACAAAATGCGTTTGCGCCTGTATGGGTGAACCGCTTCCCCAATTCAGCAGACCTAATGACGCGTTAGATGCGTAATCGAAGATGACGTTGGGAAGTGTCGCCGGTGCCGAGACACTCAGTTGTTACAAGCATGCGAGGTTGAGCGTGAGCGTGAGCGTCAGCATGAGCAGGGAGGGCGTAAGTCATGGTGATGGGGAGGTTTCTACGTATTGGAGCTGCTGGTCACTGCAACATTTTGTGCAGCATGCAGGTAGTGAGTGGGCCGACCAAGATCCCAAGTAAGTGTACCGGAAGTTGGTGTCGCATTTTTCCTCGTGTTTCCCTGGAGTTAATATCAACCTGTTTCTTTTTGTTGAGTTACCATCGTGTTTATTTCATGCTTTTATTACAACATGCATCACATATTGTTTTGTGTTATGTGCGTTTCTAGAAGCAAGTAGTATTTAGTTGTATAATGATTTAGTATGATTACAGTGCAGCTGTGTATTAGGAACGAAGTGCTGTGCTGAATAATAATGACGTTCATTTAGGTCTCCGAGATTATGTAACTCTTTTTGGTATTATTTAAATGTGAAGACTCAGAGTTGATCTTAGGATTGTGCAACAGCAGTAGTGTCTATCTAGTTTGTTTGTGGATCACATTTCCTGCATGTGGCACATTTTGATTGACGTGGATCTTCGTCATAACACCATTAGACTCTTACAAGTAAGAGCTAGGGTAGCTCATTTTGCATAGCAACTAGGCTGTGGCTTGTACGATTAAATAATTTAGTTTCGACTCCTGGCACGGTCAAGTTTTCCCTTCTCATCAGCGTGCAGACGGGCTCTGGGGCCCAATCCGTACCGGAAGCGTTTTTCCTCAGGGTTAATGTGGTCAAGGCATGAAGTTGACTCACTTCTATCTGGTTCCTGGGTTAAATATCCGTGAAGCTGTACCTTCTCTCCCCTATATCTCTTCATAAGGAAGAATTTTCTTTAGCCGTGGAAGTGATCACCGTTGGATATTATTACATCGGAATCTGTAATTGGTTGTCATTTCTTTTGAAAATAGTGTTTCGTAACAAACGGGGAGTTCAAGACTGTGAACTGTCAACACGTTCTCCATGACAAAAGAAAAGAGCGGATAAGAAGGTAAGCTGAAAATAGCCGAACTCAAACTGCAGACTTTGTGCATGGTATGTGTTTTTGGATCATGAGCTTAGGAGGCATGTTGAGGAAAGTGGTCGTGGACTACAAGGCAGTATCTCGGAATTCACTTTGGTTGATTTGTGCGTGAATTGCTTAATGGTGATTTTGGACTGCATATTTCATATGGAGTGGGATCCGGGATAGCGTAGTCGGCATAGCGGCTGGCTACGGTCTGGATGACAGAGGCGCTGGAGTTCGAGCCCCCGTGGGGTCAAGAATTTTCTCTTCTCCACGTCATCCAGGCCGTCTCAGGGGTCCACCCAACCTCCTATACAATGAGTACCGGAGGCTTTTCCCCCCGAGGTAAAGCGGCAGGGGGGTGAAGTAGACCACTTACCTCCAGCTAGTGCCGAGGTAAAGAAAATGTGAATCTATACATCCACTCCCCTGTACGCCTTCATCGCGTAGTGCTTAATTAGTAAAGCACAAGGACAACTTTACCGTTACCTTACTTCATTTTTTTCCCCTTGGCACTACAGCCCCAGCGGGCCTAGGCCTACCTCCATGAACTTCTCCGTTCACTTCGGTTTTTCTAGATCTTAGACATTCGGTAGGACTCCTTGGGCGGGTGATCAGCTCGTCCCAAGGCCTCTACCTGTACACAAACACAGAAAAACGCACACAAACATCCATGCCCTGAGTGGGATTCGAACCCACGATCCCGGCTTCCGAGCGAGCGAAGACATTGCACTCCTTAGACCGCTCGGCTACCGTGACTACCGGCCACCTTACTTCATAGGGAAGAATTATTGCAAATTGTGAAAGACTGCTGAATCAGTTGTATATTTTAAATCAATGAATCATTTGAATGAATGTACGGAAATTCAAGTACTGTATTTATTATCTTCGCTGTGCGTGCTATGTGACCCGGCCCCGAAAGTTCCACCTGACTAACACAGGGACGTCGGTAATCTGGATTTTGCTTCCGTTTAGCCGAAAACTAGTAGAGAAACCGTAAACAGTATCCCGTCTACTTTCCGAACATTTACGAAAATGGGGGGTATCTTATAATGAAACGCTTAAAAATTGCTCCACACCTCAACTGCCTATTGACGAAGTGATAAAACCTACTTAATCCCAAGCATCCTAAGAAGCGTCCTGGCAGGAGATGGCTTTACATTGCATAATAAAATAGACCAAATGGAGTGGCTTGCCCATTTCTGAAACTTGTTATGGAATTTTTATTTTATGGGGAACAGTAAATGGCACATAGTTTCTGCGCCGCATTTTGAAATAAATGCGTCAAACTTCTCACTTTATGAAAATGAAAAATATGCAGTGTTTGGCAAGTGATTCCTTCATGTTAGCTTTACTTTCCACAATAAGAAGACACGTGTGTTCGAAGAACGGCTGGCATCCTGGTACGTTTCCCTGTATGTCTTTACCGAGAATTATCATATTTCTAAGACCTATAGTACCTTAGCAGCATAAAGCCCTTCGAAATTCCAGCACAAAATTGCTAAAACAGACTTCGTCTAAAATATATAATATGAATACTGAAAGTCGTGGAAAGGCTGCTACGTACTTTATACTGATATACTGACTTTATGGGAGAATAAGCGACACTACGCGGTGTAGCTGTCTGGAGTAAGCGTCATCGGCAGAGGCTGTCTATAAGAAACAAACTTTCACAAAAGTATCTAACGTACTTTCAAATGGGGCAGTCAACACAGCAAGAACAGTAATACTCAGAGAGACAAAATAGATACTAACGTATCAACATTTATTTGTGCAGTTCTTATTGTGACATGTTTCGACCTTTATTTTTAGACGATTCTCAGGCAATACGCAACCAATAGCGTTAAGTCCGTGAACGTAAATATTGATCCATATATTAATAGAGATTAAATTATTAAGGCGCGTCCACATTACTCGTGCTCGTGCGTCAGAAGCTTACTGCTGCCGGAAAATCAGGATCTGGAGCTGACGAAGTGGACGCCCAAACTGATTTGCATACAAAGCCGTAGCATTTCTTCACAACAGATATCAGCTCCAGATCCTGATTTCCCGGCAGCAGTAAGCTCCTGACGCCTGAGCACGAGTAATGTGGACGCGCCTTTAGAATTTCGATTTATACAATTAAAGTTACAAGTTGCGAGTAGAAAGTTTAAAAATATTAAAGGTGTCAAAATAGGTTATGCGGCTGCTAATTATTGATCTGCTCTGTTTCGTTGTGCTCGAGATGTCCGAACTGCTAGTGATGGGGGTGTTGGTGTGTGTTGGGGTCCTTCTCAGTATTTTAAATCGTGTTTGATTTACACTCTCTTTGCTGTGTGAGGTCTGTCTGCGTTGTTTTGGGTAGGAATCCCGTTCCAATAGGTTTTGTGCGGTATTGGGTACTTCGTGGCTATTGTGCTGTGTGTGTGTGTGTGTGTTTGTGTGTGTGTGTAAGTCCCCGTAGTGATGACAGTAATACCGTGGCAAGTGGCCGCGCCATAGCTCAAGCGGTTAGTCGCTGGCTTCCCACCGCGGCGGCCCGGGTTCGATCCCGGGTCTGGTCAAGTGAGATTTGTGGTGGACAAAGTGGCGCTGGGGTAGGTTTTCTCCAAGTACTTCGGTTTCCCCTGCCAATCTTCATTCCACCAGTTGCTCCACAATCACCCTCACCTATCATCTGGGGCTGGTACAATAGGCCAGAAGTGGCCGCAGTACAAGGGACTTAGTCCCACCCCACTAGCAATAAAAAATACATCTAACGTATCCATATCTTCAACTGGCAGTAGAGCTACATAACGGTGATTCGCCGCGAAACAGCAGATACACGTACATTTGTGTTAGAACTTGACTGACAGTAACGTTTCACAGTTGAGTGTGTTTTGGCCCTAAGATAAAATAAAGGCCGATTTTCATTACTGGCCATTATTTCGACACTGCTACCATCCGCTTAAACTTTCCCAGTGTCCATTTTGTAATCGTTCCTGTATTTATTCGCAGGCGCAGATTTTTTAATGATCTGAAATTAAAGTGAATTTTTCCTGAGCATTTTCTGGCACAGCCGTTTTAAAGTTACTGGTCGAGCCGGAGGAGGCTGTTGCCGTTTAAATGGTACATAATACATCCTGTAGTCGTGTTTTTTTTATTTTACTGTTAATGGACAGTATCAATAAATTAGGTTTATGAAATGTAGCGATATACTGTGTGTGTTATATATAACGAAACACTACAGATACTGTGCACATTTCTTTATTAATATGGCGTTGGACAATCTTTTGCCTTCAATACAACCGGAGACTTTCTTGGAATGGACTCGCACAACTTTTGAACACACTCTAGCGGAATTTTATACAATTCTTCTAGCACAGTCGGCATAGCGACTGGCTACGGGCTGGACGACCGAGGAGTCGGAGTTCGAGTCCCGGTAGGGTCAAGAGTTTTATCCACGTCGTCGAGACCAACTCTGGGGCCCACCCAGCCTCCTATCCAATGGGTGTTGTGGCCGATTTCCCCAGGGGTAAAGTGGCAGAGGCGTGGAGCTGTCCGCCCACCTCCAGTTAGTGCCTAGGTCAAGAAAACATGGATCTGTACATCCACTCCCCCGGACATCTTCATGGCATTGTGCATAATTACCGTATTTTACGCATGTATAGGCCGCACATTTTTTGCCAAAAATTCAAGAGGAAAACTGGGGTGCGGCTTATATTCGAAATATTCGAAATCACACTTCATTTTAAAAAAATTATATTCATAATTAGTAATACAGGGTGTAATGCTCCTGAAATAATATTCCAAGAAAATTATTTTTTCTATAATTTCTGTCTGAAAATTGTGCTGCGGCCTATACACGCACGCGGCCTATACATGCGTAAATACGGTAGTTAAGCGCAGGGACAGCTTCACCTTTTTTATATCGCACTATTTCAAATGCGCGTAAAGTGCGACCGCACTGTATTCAGTTTATGGAAATAGCTCGTGCCACGATGTGAACTAGGTTCTCGTAAGTAGAAGCACCGATGCATACAAGTAAAGCAACCGTTCATGACACGTAATCAGTATCTTCTCGGGTAACATGGTCGCCCCTGCTGAAGTATGCTATCGTTCCAGCTGGGAAACCGTTTCGACGAAATACAATTGACAGTACAACATGAATGAAGAAGTGCAATTTGTATGGGCTTTCTGCTTCGCGCTCCGGAATCGCACGTGTTTAATGGTGGTTACCGCTAGTATGTCTTCTGCCGGGGGAGGGGGGGTGCAGTGCATGAAGTTGAGTGCACTAGCCCCGTAGTGTCGAGGTAAGAATGCTCCACCAAATTAAACATAGCGTGATGCATAAGTGCAGGGACATATGGCTTGTCCTTTTTCCTTTGAGACAGGGGAAATAGTTTATCGAATATTGTAGGAAGCTTTAAGTCCAGACAAAGAGAAAGCGGCCACATATTCTAAGAGCCGAGTAATTTCTGAGCTTCCGTTGGACATTGTCTATAAGACACAGCCAAGTTTGAATTATAATTACTGTAACGCTTCGGATCTTGAGCGGAGAAAATTTGGTCGCTTAATTTAAGTTTGATATAAGATGGGAGACATTTTAAATCTTGCCAACACGTGGTAACAGCTTCTTATAAATGTTGTTATTTGGATTGGGCTGCACATAATTTGCCGGGGTAGCTCAGTTGGTATAGCGACGGGATGCGGGCTGCATAGCCGAGGTTCTATTTCCGGAAGGGACAAGTGTTTTTTTATGTACTCCACAGTGTCCAGACCGGCTCTGGGCCCCACCCAGCCTCCTTTCCAATGGGCATCGAAGGCTCTTTGCTTGGGGATATGGCGGCCGGGGTGTGAAGCTGATCACCCACCTCCGTCTATAGCCAAGGTAAAAATAGTGGAGCTATATCTCCACTCTTCCATACGTCTTCATGGCAAGATGCTGAATTAAACGCAGGGATAACGTTACGTTTTAACTCACTTCTGTTAAAGGCTGAGTCGACCCTAGGATCATAATGGGGTTG